ATCCGACAAAAACAGTTGGATATCTTATATTATTCCAATCAGCATCTTGGCATTGTCAGTCAGCGTGTGGCAGGGTTTCTCTTGAGTCTTAAAATCTTTTCCTGCAACCCGAAACTTTTGCATCTGATTCAGCTCAAATTTGTGGCACATTGTGATTAAATCTAATCAATGGTTTCTTTTAATGATCAGCTGTGGAACAGTAAGCGATATACAAGTAATGTAATTATACGATCATTAAGTTCTGCCTTCTGTCTTATTATAAGTTATTGAACATATTACAAAATGGTAAATCCTTCCTTTGTTGATTTGCAACGAAACTATAAGCATTATCTTTTCGAATGTGAACAAAAACCCTGGAATTTTTAGTACGTCTTTATTGTAAATAAGGCGTTAGACACATCTAATTACTGATATAAATTGTTCGATTGATTGCAATAAAATTATTTATAATTAGTATGTATATGGCTGCCGTGGGAATGATTGGTACAACAAAGTGTATTTAAGTTGCAGGACTGTAGCGGGGAAAGGGGTGGAAGCAGGGCACGACAATAACGATCTACACACAAAATTATTTATTAATAATAATATTGTCACTCATTCAATTTTCATTCAAACAACATTGACATTATGGCCATTTTGCTTAGAATTTATTTAATATTGTTTCAAGAATGTTGTCCCTTCAAGAAAATTGAACAGTAAACTCAACATTGTAATAATAATAATTTCTAGATATTCGAGAAATTCAAGTCTTGATATTTAAAGGAAGGCCTAATAAATAAATACTTCAAATAAATGTTCTTGTAAAATAAAGTAAGCCAATAACAGAATATATTAGTTTGTTGTTTGTCGAAAAGATACTATAATTAATCAAATACTCTTATAATTGGTTTGTTTTAGGTTATTCCTACTGTACATTAGCATTAACAGCAGCAACAACAACAACAACAACATGCCTAAGTCGACGACTACTATATTGTATGTAGCTTTGGCTTAATGACTGGCAAGCGTTTCGGTCTTGGCGGCAGTACGCCACTTAAAAATGCAGCTACCAACAAATTGCCAGCGGCAGCAGCAGCAGCAGCAGCAACAACAACAACAGCAACAACAGCGACATGCTACAACAAATTGCAGTTGACTGAATGCAACTGTGCACGGCACAATGCGGCGTATGCGTGATATTTGTTGGCTGTTGGCTTACATAAGCACAGCGAGTCGGCGGCATCGACGTCACTCTTCATACAGCACACTTGGGGCAGCCCCACTCACAGTTGTTGTTGTTGCTGCTGTTGCTGCTGCTGCTGCTGCTGCTGCTGCTGCTGCTATGGGCATTTGAAAGTCGTTGCGCTTCAATTGTCGTTGTTGTTGCTGCGGCTGCTGCTGCTGTTGTTGTTGTTGTTGTTGTTATATCATTGTTGTTGCAGACACGTGCTAGCGCAAAATAGCAGTGTTGCTGCTGATGATGAAAAATAAGAAGAAGTTCAGCAGAAGAGCTTATAACATGCAATTGTCAATAAATTGAACAAATCTGTGCACATTGAGGTTTCTTCTGCTCAGCTTATTGTTGCTATTCCTATTGTAGTTCCAATTGTTATTGCTGTTATTGTTGTTGCTAAATGATTTATGGCGCAAGCGTGTCAACACGCTGAGATGAGCATCAAGCGTGGGCAACAACAACAACAACAGCAGCAGACAAACATCGGCTGCCGCTGTGGCTGTTGCTTTTTGCTGCCGCCTCGACGAACAACTGTTTGTGGGTTAAATATTGACCCAGTTAATATTAGGTAACAACAATGGCTTAAATGTTTGTGGTTATGTCAAAATGCGCTTTGCCATTTGCCTCTGCTTTCTTTCACTTTTCTGTAAATGTTGTGTGTGTGTGTGTGCGATCAAAAGATAAAGCCAAATGTGTCAGTCAGCCAGTCAGTTAGTCAGTTAGTCAGTCCGTCATTTGGTTGTCAGACATTTTGCAAACGCTTTGCCAATATTGTAGGCGTTTGTTGTAATTGTTGTCGATTATAGGTCTGTCTGTAAGTATGTATCAGCCCACATTTTCAAATTAAATTCACAAATTGAGTGTTAATTGCGGCTCCCATGGCTGTCAAAATTCCCCCACTTTGCTCCCCACTTTTCTGTCTGTCAAGTTTATAAACATTTTCTTAATTTTTGAAAGTGCCAATTTGTTGCAGTTTGCGACATTTTGTGAATTCGTTGGTTAAAATACCACATCAAACATTTTGTAGTGGATGCAGGGGTCAGCAAATTCGATATTGTTGGCTTTTTAGAAACTGCTGTGAATAATTTTTAGTCCTTGTCTATTATAACACTCAATAAAAGTTTATAAAAGGAATGAAGCTCGTCTGTTCCATCGCATATTTAAAATTGTTGTACTTTTCTTTTGGCTTACTAACGCTGTGGTTAAAAACAGCAAATACACAAATACAAACACACTTCTTTGCGATTTACTTCTTAAAGTCTACTTGGAAATTAAGACAAATGTTGTTTATACTTTTTCAAAACTACATATGTCTCAACTTGAACGATATTATAATATTAAAGTATCACAATGTTATGTTGCGATGTCGTTGCATTCTAAAACTACAAAACCAAACATTAGAGTAGTTTTACAAATCTTCAGAAACTTCTGGGGGTCTGATATTAAAAACTCCCTAAAAATTAAATTTAAAAAAACCAAGACATGACATTTCAACTGTGAACTTTTGTTATTCCTACACTTTAGTATTCTTAATGCTTTTGATAAAAACAAAATGCACATACAAGTATGTTGGAGGAATGCACTCAAAAAATTTGATGAGCTCATTGCTTCTAGTCCCCGAGATATAAGGGTTCATACAGACGCACAGTTCGAGCTCAGCTTGTCTGAGGTGAGGTTTCTATGCTAACAATATCCCTTGCTAGGCTGCCAGCTAAACAATAAGTCATTCACTTGGCATACGTGATTTGAGTTATCGTGGGAAAATATTTTCGATCTAGCTATTGTATGCGCTGTAATATTTATTAGCTGTAGCATTTACGAGTGTCGATTTTCGTTTTTACAAGCATGATCAATTACGATGTGAATGAAAATGCTTGTCCCAGGAAATGTAAAAAAGAAGACTTTTGTATGTAACATGCTCGTATGTAAGTGGACCCATAAGGGAACGCCCTTCAACGTGCGGTTTGTCTCTAATCTCGCATATTATCCGCCATATTTTCAGACATTTATGCCGAGTGTTGTACACAAAAGTGAAAGTCAAAAGGCATAAAACATGAGTTTCGAACAACAACTGTGAAAACAAATGAGACAAAAGTTTGCTGTGCATTATTTTGCCGTGCTATTTTGTATTTTTGCTCATTTGTTATTGTCTTTGGACAACAAATTAACACACCTGAGCGGTGAGCAAAGTAAACAATTAAAGCCTGACCTAGGTGTTAATTGTAGTTACTTGTGCACAATGTCACAAAATGCAGTGCGATCGATTGGCACGAGACGAGCTATCGATTGGCGATGTTTATTTTTCGATTTTTTTTGTTTTTTTTTTTCATTGTAAATGAAGACTTTCGAAAACGAACAAAATCCTTGAATGCAAATTGAAAGAGCGTGCGAAAAAGGCCTTCGCCAATTGAAATGCAATTAATTTGTCTAATCAGTCAGCATAATTGCAAGTGTAAACGAAAATTGAGATTGTTTGCTGCAATTAAGTAATAAATGTGCATTGCTCAACAATCGTAGCCGGTTTGTATTTCGTGTGCCAATTTTTCGTGCAACAACACAGCAGCCAACACCCAAAAGAAATACTATAAGTAAAATGTGCGCAAAAAATCGCAGTCCAGCTGCTGCCAGCTCGCCTAATAATACTCAATTAGTCACTCAACTTCGAGTCCGCTCGACTGGTCCGAATACTGGAGCTGGGGAGCTCGAGAGCTCGGGAGCTGGTGAGCTGGTGAGCTGGAGTTGGGTGACTGGTGACTGGAGACTGGTGACGGCACAGCTGATCGCTGGCACGCTGATCGTCAAGGAAACAAGTGTGAGTGTGCCAGTGCAACTTCCTTGGCAGTTGAATGACTAGCGACTGCGGTCTGGTCACGCAGGTTCCACAAACATGTTGCAACTCCTGTTTTTGGTCAGCCCAAAGACCCCAAGACCCGCATTTGTTGGCTGTTGCTCGAAAAAGTAAAAGCACATTTTTTTTGCTCGCTGGTTCAGCTGCCGAAAGTGGCGTTTACACGGAAAATCAATTTGAGGAAACTCTGTCGGAAGTTTCAAGAAATGGCTCAAAAAAAGTCGCGTGCAATAAAACCAAATCGTTTTAAAGAATTGTTGCTATTTGACAGTTTAATGATCAGTTATTGACAAACAATATTGATAAAAAGAGAGACCAATGTTTAAGGACAGCTTCAGCCTCATTATTCCTTACAAAATATTTACTGGCCATAAAACCGAATTGTTTAAATTTGATGAAACATTATTAAAAAAAGGCACCTAATTTACTTGTAATTCTAATGAACTATTTTAGAGTCTCAAAACTAATTATTATATATTGTTTATCGAATAAATAGGTGTGCTTAAAAAATGCAATGTTTCTGCTCATCATTAGATTTTTCATTTAGATTTTTCTACTATATAGCGAAATATTTTACCAATTGCAATTACTTGTAGATGCAATGTGTGGCTAATTTGATGTTCAAAGTTTTGTGTAAATTTCCTGAAATGCATTTTTCAGTTTGAACGGCACTCTAAACTACTTAAAAACGGAAACTTGTTGGGTCAGCCAGCACTTACTAGATTTTGTAGCGCTTACTCATCGAAAAGCAAATACGCTCGATTGTCGAGTGCCTCCGACTGTTTAAACAATGGGGAAAAAGGGCACACAATCGTTAGCTAAGTGCTTGACTCATGCGCTACCTTTTGAGCTACCTTGCACACACAATTCTATGTGTGTGTGTGTGTGTGTGTGTGTGTGTAGAAGAGTATATATGTAAGTATGTCTAAGCTCACTCACCTTGCCATTGGCCAGAGGTATTTGCAGCACATCCAATTCCTGATTGCCAGCAGGCAGGGGGACGGCATTGATCATGCAAATGAGGCTGCACAGACCGCAAAGGGCGAGTGTCAACATTTGCTGTGAGCTTTGTTGCCTCATTGTGCCGACTTGTCGTGTGTGTGTGGGGCTGGGGCTGGGGCTGTGTTGGGAATAGTCTGCAAGTAGATAGGAAAACAGTTGCATAAATAGACGCATTTTAATAAAATTGAGCAGCTGAGAAGCTGTGCTATTTTATTTGTTGCTATTTCACAAAAAAAAAAAAAAAAAAAATGCTATCGATGCTATCGGCTATATGGCGTGACCTTGAGACCTTGGCACAACTTGGCCCGAGATGATGCGGCAGTTTCTTTTCACGTTTTTCTGTTTTACAACCAAAAATTAACAAATTGTCAATAAAATATATACACAAATACAAATTCAAATACAAATGCAAACACAAATACATGCAAACTGCACACGTCTCAAAATTGTTGTACGATGGTTTTTCAGTTTTCGGTTTTCGGTTTGAGTTGTTTTATTGATTTTGGTATTCTAGGGTTTTCGGTTTCGCTTTGTTATACGAAGGCTAACAAGTGCGCGCATTTGCCACTGAATGTCGTAGGCATGATTGTTGTTATTGCTGTTATTATTATTATTATTATTACTATTTTGTTGTTGTTGCTTTTTTTGGTAGTATATGCATATATTTATTGGCTGTGGTTTATGCTAAAATCCGCCTGTCAATAGCCGGCTGGCCATTTACGGGTGTGTGTCAAGTTTAAATAGTTAAGATTTTTTTGACAATGTCAAATGGCGATCAAGACATGTGCGAACACGCTTAACGAGCTCTCAAACTCAACACTCACACACAGGGCGTATGCGTAATGTGAAAAGTAAAACATATGGAATGACATGTTAGGCAGCACATTAAGAGAAAACCGAGCAAAGAGTATGAATGCGAACAAAGAGAGAGACAGAGAGACAAACAATTTTTAAAGCTTGTTCAGAATTATGTAATTTTAATTTGAGGGCAAGGCGTTTATTGGCATTTTAATTGCTTTGTGGGATTTTGGTAAACAAACGAATGTGTGACTCAAACGAAATACTGATGAACTGAACACAGATCCAGGCCACATATACGAGTATATATAATATGCGTGTCCGAAGAAGCACATAAAGAAAGCAGAGACTACATAGAGTATCCACTACATAATAAATAATTATGGATAATGGAGAAATGACAATCAATCATCAAACAGCTTAAGTCTCTCATTTAAAGTAAGCTAAAAATTACATGGGGCTTTTAAATTAAGGAACCAAACAGTGTTGGAAACTGAGGGCCCGGGAATAAAATAAAATTTCCCAATATTTTCAATATTATTTTAGCTCGAATATTTCAGTAGTAGGTTGGGTTGGAAAACGATTATAATTAATGAAATATGCGTAAAGCCCTAACTGATTCATTGTAGCAATTCATTGAATGCTGAAAATCATTCGAATATTAAATGAACATATCCCATGTGGAAAGTGTGTGGAATCAGGTCTTAAGAGAGTTGACCTGTGTTGGAAAAGTGATGGAACACCAGTGTCCTGCAATATTTAATGAAAAAAAGCTAAAGGGGGCTAATTGACATTAAACATTTAAATATATTTATCAACTAAACTAATTCGAAAGAATCTATGAATCTAATCATCGATATATGAATCCTAAGCTGCTCCAGCTTCAAATCTCCCTCATCTTCTTCATGTCTCATGTGCTCTTTAATGCTTGAAGTTCACACCAAAGCCGAAGACATTGAGAATTTGATGTGTGAATAATGGTATGCGACGAGTATGTGGTGTTGCTAGTCTCCAAGCGAGTGGAGAATTGAACTTGAAACCGTTCAATTTAGCGGCTATCAAAGTCAAAAGGAAGGTTGTCACACACATGCTACGCGACGATGAGAGACCATGAAAGACGCGCCATCGCCGTCGTCATCGCCATCGCCAGTGACTTCAAAGATGCGCAATCTTTCAGATTGTCAAACAGGCTGGCGATATGTCTATGCATTGTTTGGTAATATACATTGTTTGCATTGTTTGGTAAAACAGCAACAACATTTTTGTTGTCAATTATATAGTTTAGCGTGTTGGCGCCACTGATGCCAAAGACGTTGGTAACATGCAACGATGATGGCCAACGGTCAGCGGCTGTTAAAGTAGGGCGTAGCGCAAAAAAAGCAACAGAAAACAGAAGGAAGAGTGTGTGTGTGTGTGTGTGTGTGTGTGAGAGAGAGAGTGAGAGAGAGAGGGAGGGAAAGAAACAGTTAGTAGCAGATGCAAGCAGACAAACAAACCGAACAAAACCGCAAAATGTGTAAAGAAGCAGAGAGGCAGAGAGTTGTGGAAAGGGAGAGAGACGAGGGCGTTGAGGTGTGCGCAAGCGCAGGTGCCTGCAGCGCTTTGAAAGGGAGAGTGTTGAGCGTGCGCGAACCGGCAATAACAGTAACAATAACAACAATAGCAACAGCTACAACAACAACAACAAACAGCATGTGAGTTGTTACTGCTTGCTGTTAAGTTGGTTATGTCATCTGCATGGCTTTGGCGTTAACGCTGGCAAAGGCGTCCAGCAAGTCAGTTAGTTAGTCAGGCAGGCAGTTCGTCGTCAGTTTATCAGCTCGTCAGTCGGTCAATTCGTCAGTCAGTTGGTGTTGTTGGTGTTGGTGGTTGGGCTTTTCGGTTGTTGTCTTTGCTTTTACTTTTTTCACTGTGGCTTCTTTCTAGGAGGCAACACTGGTATTGCCCAGCGTTGAACGTCATTAACAATTGTCAAACGTGGCCGCACTTTGTTGGATTTGTTTTTGTTTTTTTTTTTTTGGTTGCCATGACTTGGACATTTTGAATAGTTGTTGGCTCGTTTTTGGGCCGACTGGCTGGCTGGCTGACTGGCTAAGCAATCAGTTGCACTACGTTTTCCATTTTTTTGGTTCATTTATTTGCATATTAGTTTTGATATTGCTCATACGCTCATTTCTGTAAATGCTGCCAACAGTTGGCTGTACATATGTATAAATTTATGTAACTGTGTATGTGTGTGAGTGTGTGTGTGTGTGTGTGTGGTTATTGCTACTGTCAGTCATCAAGTTTCTTGCACATTTTTACAAAATATGGCATTGAGTGCACGCCATGCTTAACATTTCGTAATTAAAACGAAACACACACACAAACAAATTGTAATAAAAATTGTGGGCACATGCAAACAAAAAATTACAAGAGACTTTTGCATGGTTTTTGGAGTGTGTTTGTTTGCATAATTTTTGCAAGAAGCGATTTGTTTTGTTTTTCCTTTTCATTTTAATTCGTTTGACTTGCATTTTCTATACGATTAAGTAGTGGAAGGAGTGCCTCAAACAAGAGAATTGTTCTGAGGCTGCCTTCAAACATGTACACGCGATGTATACATAGATATATACGAGTACAGGTATTCATGCAATTAGCATTGAAACCTTGAATCAGTCGGCGCTCAGCAATGCATTGCTCGCGCAACGGTGCGTATAAGCAATCAAACACTGTTGGTGCCAATTGCAGTTGAACCTTGAAAGACCACCCATAGAGCTGACATTACTGGTCAGATGATGTGAAGTGTGAAAGGGAAGTGCTTCAGTTCGAAATTGTGCAACATGGCTTCTTCAATCTGGATCTCTAGATCTCTAAGGTAGAAGCTTGCTGTTTGGAATAAAAGTTTTTTAAATCTTGGCCTGAAGTCGAAAGTAGTGTGAAACAAGAGAGGTTCCCTTTTGGAACTGAACTTGCAAGCTTATCTCAATTTTTATTCTATTTCCCACTAGATATAGTATAGTACTACTTGTATATAAAAAGTACAACCTAAGTCTTGAATTTTAGAAACTGAGCAATTTGCTTGATCTTCGGACTTTATTTAACTTTTTCTAACTGTATAGAATTGTTAGAAAGCGCCTTTTAGGCACAAAGAAACGTAAATAGTATATTCTTTCTTTGTATTTCTAGAAATGAGTCGTTCTGTACTAAGTCTACATGGATTTTAAACTTGCGTTTTGTGTGTTGGGGGGGGGGGGGGGGGGGGGGGATGAATTGATTAAAAGATGCCTTTAGGATTGTTCTATTCAAAAGTCCTACTATAATGAAGTCATTAGCTGGCCTTTTAGTTAATTTGTCGGCATTGTCAGTTAATTAATAAGCATATGTGTGTTCTATAAATCATATCAAGTTTCCAATAAAAACAACAAAAAGTGCATATCTAAATCAAAATAAAGGCTTCATTAGCAACACTTATAAAGCAGCAGAAACAAAAAAAAGAGTTAAATAACAGTTAAACGCACACGCGTCGATGTGTTTTTTGTTTTTGTTTTTTTTTTTTTTAGCACAAATTTGCAATTATTGCATGGCACAGAAAAAAAAGTGAACCAAAAAAAAGAAGCGTTTTAAGCACATACAAAAAAAATATTCGTTGACTGCTTTTCATAAAGAAGCAAAACAATTTATTATTTAAAGTCTGTAGTTTTTTGTGTGTTTTTTGCGGTTGCTTTTGTTATTAACGGAATTTCTGCTTATTGCAAGTATTTGGCTTGTATGTTCATACATCTGTTTAGTATGTATGTGGGCAGTGATTGTTGTTGTTGTTGTTGTTGTTGTTATGGTGGTTTTATTTATCGTTGTTGTATGTAGTTGATGTTATTACAATATTGCTTGTGCTCGTTGAATTTTTGGTTGTTGTAAGTTACACGCGACTTGGTTATACTTGTAAGTGTTAACACGATTGCCTCGTTGGCTTGCCGTTGGTCTGACTTGGTCTTGGATCTCTGGTCTCTGGAGCGTGTGTGTGTAAATATTGTGTTAAGCTTTTGTCTTATATATCCTCACGTTTTATATTATGCGGCAACGATGTCGGCGGCGACGAGACGTACGCGTTTTTCGTTTTTCTTCTTTTGTTGTTGTTGTTGTTGTTGTTGCTGTTTTGATTGGTACAGATAAACCAACAAAACCAAACGTATTACTCTGATACTCTGAGAGAAAGAAATTGAAATTGTTCGACTTAAAAAAAAATGATTTCTTTCTTTATATTTGTTGGTTTCTGTGGTTGGGTTTCGTCTGTAGTTGGGTTTTTTTATTTTATTTAATTTTTGATTTTTAGTTTGTTTGTTAGCTTCGCTAAACTGCGACTCGCTGGCTATGTCTTGGCAGTTGGGCTTGCAATTGATTACTAACGTGATTTTATCACACACAAGCGACTAAAGCTCGAACACAAAAGCCAACAGACTTTGGGCAGCTGCAGCGTCGACTGCGGCGGCGGCGCGGCGAAGCGTACAAGTGAGTGCAGTGGGCAGCAACAGTCGTGGATGGAGGGGAGTCGAACAGGTGGCAGAGAGAGGCGTCTGACGCGCGTCTGAGGCGACAGAGGTGGCGTGCTGGCGTGCTGGCCAGTGGCGTCAGCCGCTTAACGCCTTGCTGTCGACGTTGGCATCGGCGTCGGCGTCGGTAGCGGCGGCAGCGACGATGTTCGCGTTAAAGTCGTCGTAGCGGCTCAACTTGGAGCCGGCTTTGACTTGCACTCAAAAAATGTCGAAGAAGAAGAGGAAGACACTCAAGCACACATACACATGCACACACACACAACACACAAAAAAAACAAACAACAACAAAATACGAAACGAAAGTGAGCGCAGCGCTGACCACTTTTGAGTGGAATTCGTTTGGCGCGTCTTTTATTATTGTAATTTTGTTGTTGTTTTTTGGTTTTGTTTTTTTACGAGTATATTTTTTTTTAAATTTTTTGTATTTTATTATACGATTACGCGAATCGCTCGCTTGCCGTGGATGCTGCCGAATTTCCGCTTGTGATTTTCGTGACTCAAAAATTGCGCGGGCTGTTCAAGTACATGTGTACGAGTATGTAGTGTGTGTGTGTGTGTGTGGTTTGTCAGTCAGTTTGTCAGTGGGCCTTTCGGCCAGGATTAGACTAGGCTTACACAACCAAATGTGTTGTGTTCGTTTGCAGCAGCTGTGCAACAGGCATCAGACTTGATTATGCTCATCATCTGCAATGGCATACAATTTATGATCGGTTTTTTGAGTCTGTCGTCCTCTTAACTATCCATTTGTGTTTTTTTGTTTTTTTCAGTATGTATTTGTGTATATGGCCTTTTTATTGGTTGATTTGCAGCGAGTTTTATGGCACAGTTTTACGATTTGACTAAACTTTGCAATTATTGCCGCTGGCATTTTTGGCAGCAAGTGCAATTTATCGAATGCAACATCATCATGGTCATCATCACTATCATTAATGACAACAATAACAACAACAGCCAGGCTTTCAAAGTATGGCACAATTCAATTCATTTGCGTTTGCTGTTTGAATTCCAATTGCATTCGAAATGAGCGTATTCCGCATTCCGAGGGGAGACAAAGCAAGTGGCCATACGAGCTTCAAGGAGCTGTACATTTACGAGTATTTCTGCCTGTTACCATTGTTGTTTATAAGTAGACATACATATGTATATATATATCAAGTGGGATATGCAATTGCATGAATGTGTTGGGCAAGAGCTTTACTACCACCACATACTCGTATGTGTATCTATAGGTCCAAACTGCCAACTCATTCAATATTGCACAGATCCCAAAGCTGATGAAGTTGCAGCTCTTAATTATGGCATACTCGTACAATGTGGCAACTACATACTTATATACACATAACTTAAGATAACTATCAAATATTAATAGCAGATAATTGACAAAATCACGGGGAAGAAGTACCTTTGAAGATATTTTTCTATTTTAAAGCATAAATGGAAATCTTCATACAATTGATTAGTAATTTAAAATCCGAATAGAATGTTAAAGTCCTCTGGATTACCACGTTAAATTCTTTCTTTTAAGATAAACTTCATTGCAGAAGCTATATTTAATTAAAATTTGTTAAAAGTTTCGCTTTATGAAACAAAGAAATGAAAATGAAAAAAATTTTGTTCTCGAAACGTCTCGCCGCTGATTGAGATCATTAAACTGGTTGTTCAAACAATTAGCACACTATTCAAGATAATTAGTTGATACATAAGTTGTTAAGCCTCTTTACGAGTATAGACAGCCAAAGGCAATTCAGGTACTTGACATCTTAAGCCCATCAAATTGACTCGTGGATATGAGTTTGTCAGTCAATAGCATAGCCTTCACAGAAAAATCTAGATATCTGCATAACACAAGTGGAACAACAACGACAACAACAAAATATTTGATACCAATTAATACCAAACTCATCAAATAACTGAGGCAAAGCAAATGGTATCTGATTGTCTGGCGTTATGTTCTTGAATGAATCGATAGTCGATGGTCAAATGTAGCCTCAAGCTGACCTTCTTGAGGCGCATAGATGAAAAGCATAGCGACAGATCCGGACAGCGACAGAGATCGGAGTCATAGTCATCTAGCATCATGGACAGCGTCAACGAACGACAATGTTGTGCGTGTGTGTGTGTGTGTGTGTGTGTGTGTGTGTGCGTGTGTGTGTGTGCGAGCGCGGTGATATGAAATTGAATGGATCGTGAATCAACAAAATGTTGTACAGCTGCTTATTTGCTTAAAAGTGTGCTTCCGCAGCCAGAAGCCAGAAGCCAACAGCCTCCGGCTCGGTCTGAGTCCAACAAATACAAATTAAAAGTAGTTCTACTTTAAATTTTGTTGCTAGTCGTTTCGATTGTGGGCCGCTTTGAGGTCGCGTGATAAATTGATAAAAAAAAGCAGTCCAGAGACAACGAAAAGTTGCAGTCACTTTGGCATTACCTGACAGTTGCAACGCGTCTAGGTGATAGCTGTCAACCAATGTGTATGATTAATTAAGCCACCTTAACCCATTAAAGGCAGTGTATTATGGCCATAATTGATTGCCAATAATTGAAAAGTTTTTGAACCGACTTTAGAGAATACGATTTTTAATTTCTTATTTAAAGTTAATGAAAGCAACATCAACAAAAATCGATGAATATAAAAAACCATAATTGAGTTTTTAGACATTTTATATTTCATATAAAATAAATAACTAACTGCGAATAAATGTTGATCAAAAATTAATCATTTTATTGATGAGAACGAATGGAACATTGTTAACGACAGTTTATTCTTGTCAATAAATAAAAACAAAAGATTACATTATTTAACAGATGCCATAAATTTTAAATCTATTTAATCAAACCGCATTTATTCATTTAATACAATAAACTTAATTGAGTAAGTAAATTGTAAGGAAATATAAATTAAGAGATTTATTTCAAGAAGTCCTTCTTTGCCGAAAGAAAAAGAGAAAGAGAGGAAAACAGCGGACAGCCTAAGGCCAAAACAGTGCCATCAGGGGCTGTCGTCGATTAAGTTATTAACTTTTTGCCTTTATAGTAACCACCTTTAATGTATAAGCTCTTCAATTCTGGAATCAGCCACTATTTGAGTAGAGTAAGTGCCATGGCGGCTATATTCAGAGCTAGAGCTGCCCAGAGAATAGATTCATCGAAGGTTATATCAAATCGACCATTGGAGGCTGTCTGTATACTTTACTTGGTGGCCAATAATAATGGGTTAAAGGCAGATTTAAAAGGCACGCCATCAGGCAGACTGGCAAGTAAATGAGCTGGCAAAGAGCTGATGCTGTTGGCAGTTGGCGAGTTGTCCACTTGGGCGGAAGCATGCCATCGAACGAAATCAAAAGGCAATATCGGTGGATTGGTTCGCTGTCTTGTCTTGTTTTATTACTTCATTTTCAGTTGAGCGCTTTTGCTGCTGCAGCTCGCTTTTATTTCGGTTTCATTTCTCATTTATTTTTGATTTCTTGTTTTTCTGTTGTTACTGTTGTTGTTGTCTTTGTTTTTTTACCTTCGGCGGCCAACACGTTAAGTGTCTGTGTGTATCTGAAGGATAACCACTTTGTGCAGAGACCAGTCGCTGCAATGTGGCGCGGTTAACGACACTAGCGAGAACAGCATGCGCCACTTGCCTCATGTGCCACGACATGCATGGAAAATTACAAATTACGCATACGCCGCATTGTGCCAGGCAGCAGATAAAGTATAGCGCTGCTATGATTGCAAAACGAAGGCAGGCAGGCAGGCGAATGGAGGAATGCATGGACGAAAGGGTGAGGCAGGCGGGCAGGCAGGTGAACAGAAAAAAAAAATAAAATCAACAGATATAAGTAGCAGATACAACCGATACAGCAGCTGAGCAGCAGCGGCAAACAAAAGCTGTTGCATGCGTTCAAAATCAGTTTAAGGTGAATTAGATTTTGACACACACACGAGCACAGTCAGTTAGTCAAATGTTGCGCTTCTCAATAGTCACACACACACATACATAAACATTATGTTTTGCATATTCGCAAAATTATGAAATTAGTTTCAGTCGCCAAGTCGCTCGCTCGTTCAGTCGCTCAGTCACTTAGCCGTACAGTGGTACAGTGGTTCAGTGGTTCGTTGGTTCGTTGGGGTTTTCTCGTTTTGTTAAGCTGCCAAATCGAAAATGACAACGAAATTAACTTTAATGGCAGCTTGTCTTGGAAGCTGTATCCATGTATCTATGCACTTTGCGCCCCACACACACACAGACATTTTCATATACATACTTGTATGTATGTATGTATAATATGCATGCAACATAACTTTATATAGTAAATGTACGAGTATATAGTAAAGTAGCTACACATAGCTAACACACAGCCCAGCCTTGTTGCCACCTATCCCGCAGCATGGGGTGTTTTTCTTCTTTTTTTCTTCATACACATATATTTGCATTTAAGCGAATATTTTATGCATGTCTATACATACTTATGGCTGTCGTGTCTGGCACAGCCTTCGGCAGAGCTTATGCTTATGCACTCACACACACACACACACACACATAGACACAGCTACATATACACACGGCAACACTTTGCACAAAGGGCATTCACTTTTGACCATAAAAATAAATATTTACATAATATATACATATACAAGTATATCTGCTAAAGAGACATGCTGTCATGACACCATAGATATTTGATTGACTGAACGGTTTCCTAAGCGGCATTGTCCAGCCCCGGAATCAGACAGAGGGCTGGGAAAGTATTGTTGGGGTTAGGGATAACCATAATGCGGGATCAAGCAACGAACCAAGGAAATCTTTTTCGAGCTAGCAATATTAATAGCTAAAGATACAGACGGAAATATGCACGCTGCAACATCAAATTGCAGATATGCGAGTGATACTTTAATGTTATTGCAACTAAATTAAAGAAATTGGAAATAGTAAAATAAACTCGTATACTTGGAGCGTCTGCTTACCAAGTTTGGTTTATGTACGTTCAGCCGTTTCCGAAATCCAGGCGTTCATCCAGACAGACGGACGGACATACGTTGCACAAACCCAATACACCCTTTTTACGTTACGGGTACAGGATATAAAAACCATATGAATCGATATTAATTGCATAAGTCTGTCCTAATTTGATAATCTTTTGTACTTGCTTCTAAGTCTTTAACGAAGTCAAAAGCGAAGACAGCCTGTGCCAATGGGAATTATTCAGCAGCCCGATTACCGTGAATGTTTTCGCATTATTATACGAGTATTTGAAACACCTTCTGATCATGTGTCTTAAAGTGAAAACTTTAATGCAAAACGAGTGAAAAGTAGTAGAGAAAAAATGTCAAAATCTGAAATAAATTAGAAGTACAATTGTTTTTCAAACAATTTTATTGAAATTGAAAACATTTCCAATTGCCAAACACACTTCGATGTCCTCTGATAGTTTTTTGAAGGCATTGCCACAACATTTTCTTTTGTAAATTGCATTAATTTGCAAAGTTGTAATTGGAAGCGATATTCTCGTCCTATTATTTCAAAAAGTTAGCTTCGATTGACCAATCGGGTGTTACTTATCAAATATTAGTCAGTTTGCAATTTAGAAGCTCAGACAGAATACACAAAAATGCAGACTGGAAGCACACAACCCGCTCAGTCGGGCTCAAGCAAAATTACCATCGCCCCTATGCAGTCAGTGCTAACGACCATCTTATCAGAGGGTAGCCACATGACATGGAGCCTGGGCCCCCAGGAGAGTGTGGAGCGACGAGTTCTGAAGGTGCTGCTGCATCTCGAGACGGACTTCCGCAGTTACTACAATTTGTGGCGCAGGGGAATGGTGCTGCAGCGTGAGGCAGCGGATATGCTCTGGGGCCTTACGCAACGCTATATGATAATAATGAAGGCCGATCCCACCTGTATCTGTCCACAGAACTATGCTATCGAGCCGGAGGAGGTGCTTATTGCTGAATATAACGTGCACTACATGATCATCCAGAACTCGAACGAAGAGCAGAACTTCACGTTGAGGTCAATGCGCCACAATGTGGTGCAGTTCCGGAAGAGTTGCAACAAATTGGACTTGACCAAGGAGACGCCGTTCATCATGGGCGACACCTTCCACAAGCCGATTAAGTTCTTCATCGAGCTAGTCGATGAGTTATTCAATTATTTTTACAGCGGCTATCTTAAGCTCGACTATATGGCAAACCAACTGGATCCACTCGACCTCAAACCACTGGAGGAGTACAGGGAACTGTTAAATCCCAGCGAGGAGTTCGAAGAATATCTAATGCTTAGCTTGACGTACTGCAAGTGCCTGGTGCCGGAGCCGTGTCCCCGATTTGTTCCGGATAAGTGTGAAGAGACGCCTCCACAGACGAAACAGGATCTCAAAAAGAGTCGTTGCTTGGCTCGGCGCGCCGAAATGATGGGCGAGACTGGCGAGGTAAAGGACACCCGGCCATCGAGTAAAACATCGATTCGAGCAATAAAAACGAAGGCCAATGTCATCAAAGCGTATTCTTAAGGCCGGTTTTTTGCCAACCAGTAATATTTCAGTTGTCTCGTAACGCTAAGTCACAGATTTCGTTCAATTAGCCATTGCCTCTTTTTGAAAACATTTTTGAAAACTTGGGAACTTGCTAAATGCGGAAATGTGTGATGAAATGAATGTGAGGCCCATTATTGATTTCATTGCTTAATATGTCCAATAAAATTCATTGTAAATCGAAATGGGGTTTATTTTGTATATGTAGATATTGGGTAATAAATCACGATTACTTCTTAGTGGCCTGTTTAAACATTGTTCAATTAATTTGATGATTGCTGCGACTTACTGCTGTGAGTCGGGAAATAGCTTTCCGGACTGGCTTTCAAATTGTCCCCCACCGGGTTGGAGATTTTCCTTTTACTCTTTCTCTTTATGCTTAATTAGCTGTTAATTAGAATTACTTTTCCTTCTCTATCTACTATTTTGTTTTAGCCTGTTAGGTCTATAATGTTCTCTGACCACATATGGCTGGCTAAATGGCAAATAAAATTCCCCCAACGGGTCGGAGGCATTAATAGACGGTATTGTATAGGTTTTTCTTAGGCTTTCTTATCTTTTAAGTTGAAATTATGAATGTGCACGCCCATTTAGGGAACTAGGCTCTTGGTATACGAATAATAGGTATATTATTGGTCTGAAATATATTGATTGGTGATATACAAATGCTGTTGATATTGTCAGAATTCTCAGCTACAAAGATATGGGATATTGGTTTAAACTATTAAACTATTGATGAGTCTATCCATAAGAAAAATCGGATCGCTTGATGTTAATAGAATATTTTCTTTTCCATATTTTGCAACTGAAAGACTATCTATAGATCTGTTTCTAGTACCAAATGCAGATTTTTCTATTCCATTTTTAACAATTCACGTCACAACCTCCATGACAGACACATGATTAAAAAAGTCAAGGTTATCATAAAATTTAATGATTGCCTAACCTAGGACAGATCAGAATCAGATCTTAAATAAAGATTAAAGATTTAAAAATGTTATCAATAATAGGACTATTACTAAGGTCATTGTGGATATCTAAGTGTCTGAAGAAGCTTCAGCAATGATCCTCAGGATGTGAAAAGGGGCGCATTGAATAATGTTCATAGCTGTGAGCCATATATTCAGATTGGCTTCATGGTGGTATTTAGCAATAGACCTTTAAAATTAAATTGAAAAGACGAGCATTTCAGAAGTTATGATGTACTTGTATTGAATATATTTTTCTCAAAGGACTCAAATGCTGATTTGTTCTGATGAAGCCACATTGCTTCATGAAAGAACTATAGATCTTAATCTAGAGAGCTATTTCGAGTGTTGATTAACAATGCTTTTATAGATTACATTTGAATTCAAAATTGATATTATTGCTAGATTGCTAAAGCCGATCTGCATACAATGAATGGGGCATGCGACCTAATCGAGAAGATATTTAAACTAAATAAAAATTATTGTACACGGATTAGTTGGCTGTTCTTTCAAATGGAACCGATGCTACTGTTTATACAAGTATAATCACAATGAAGCCAGTCATTGTTGTCTGTCAACCTACAAGTTTACAGAGTCTTTAAACAAATTGTTTCACTCGCTGCTGCTGCCCGTCGGTAGTTTACTTGTAATGTTCAATGGTGCAATTAAATGTAAAGACATCGGCAACGGCATTGTTGTCACCGTCATTGTTGTTGCTATTGCTGCTGCTGCTGTTTCTGCTGTTGTTGTTGTTGTTGCTTTGTTGCAGTATTTAAGTTTAATGACAGCCCAGAGGCAACAACAAGGTTGCTCGAGTGTAACATGTGCAACTCTGGCTGGCAGGCAGCATTGGCAGCATCATTTTCCCCTCTGCCCCCTCGGCTGTTTATTTATTTTTTTTTTTTTGGTCTGTTCTGCAGCTGATGTTCAGATTTTGATTTAATTGCGTCGTTTTTAGTAACATTTTAAGCTCATTTCCATTGTTGTTGCTGGGGATGTTGGTGTCGTTAACAAGTAGGTAGTAGCATCGTTTAACTACAAGTATTCGCTGAACTATTCGCTTTTGTTTCATTGTTGTTGTTGTTGTTGCTGATGCTTTTACAAGTAGTTTTGTCAGCTTGTCTATTATATGCATAATTTTATTGAAATTTGAACGCCCAAGACTTGAGCTTTGACTCTATATCTGGGCGCGCCCGTCCATTCTTTGTTTAACTCTGACTTTTTTCTCTCGATTTCAGGTTTCACATTTGCCTGCATGACTTGACAAAAATTAAAAGTTATGATTATGTGGGCGCATTCTACTAATTTGTTTCTGTTTTTTTCCTTAACTTCTTGTGTTTGCCTTCACTCAATGCATTTAAATTAAACGGAGCGCTCTGCAGCTTGTCACGTTCGCTGGCGGCCGGGGGAGGACAGAGCGTTTCACAAAGAAACAAATGCCGAGTTGGTGTGTACTATATACAAGTAGTATATATATCCTGCGTCATATTTACACAGTCTGTTGCGTCAACTGCTCAGAGTGGGCGCTGGCACAAAAAAGTGACAACAAAATAAAACTGGCCATTAAATTGCACGAATTATGCTACCAATTGCCCAAGCTGGTGACTAATTACAAACAATTATGCCTCAAAGCCGGCAAATGCAATGTGATTTGCTTGGGAAGAGTGAATTGAAATACACAATAACGAATACAATATGCACTGCAGTCAAAAGCTACAGATTTCAGGCCAATAAAACGTATGTCTCTTTGCTAATTAGTTGAATATCCCGTAACCTTGCTCTGATTGATTTATTGGCAATCATTTTCAGGCAATTCGCTTTCTCAATGATAGGGACTTTGCATTCCACTTATAAATTGTTGTAAGTTGTAATTAATTATTTGTAATGCTGCAATAGAACTTTGTTGTTCAACTCGATGAATAGTGAGCACCATATGGTTGAATGAATGAACGAAAACGAAGACTGTTTGCTACTTTTAAATTGAAGGGTATTCCTTTTCGTAACATATGCCAATGATATGTTAAACATTTCAGGGTTCGTTTAATAAAACCATAACCAAAATAATTTTTATAAACTGTTAATTTTTTGACGCTTGATTGCATGTTTCTGTAAAATTGGAAAGTGTTTGCTCTAGCTATTTAAACAATATGATATATTCGTTCAATTTGTTACTTTGCACAAAAGTCGAAAGATAGAAATAAAAAGTTTTTAGTAAGAAATTGTAATAAAAGCCTTTTTTGATTGAAGATTACCGAACCTAATACCGATCGTTTAAGAAGATCATTTTTTTAATAGGAAGTTAACTTTTTTTTTTGTTTGCAACAATAGTACATATTTTTTTCAACACAATACTATAAATACGTATATGTGCCACTTATGTGCCCATCTGGACTTATTGTGGATGCAGGGTATATGCCTGAAAGCAAAAATCATAATGCATTTAAGCCCGGCTGACATGTTAACAACTTTGTGGCTGCGACGGCGTCTGTCTTGTTGCTGGGTCGACATTTAAATGATTGGCACACCGAAAGCTGTTCGAACAAAATAGGAAAAAAGAGTAACACAATCAACGAGTCGGTGTGAAAAAGTGGCAAAGGAAAGGCACGACACCAACAATGATTTATCAGTTTTGACTTCGCCACGTAGTGTCTGAGCCGTTGCGGAGCATTACGTGATATCGATCAGGTTGGCTTTATGGCCAGCTTTTCAGCGCACCACAATATTTCTCAAAAATGTTATTTGGCATTTGTTTTTGTTCCCAAATGTTATGCAAATTGCTCTGTGTTTTTTTATATGTAGGGGTCGTGCACAGGGGTCAGTAATTAGAGCGCCTTAGAATATCGCTCAGTTGCAGAGTAATTAAGTGGCCAGCTATTTGTGCAGTGACTTGCCAAAACATGTTTTTTCTTTTTCTTTCCATTAATTCGAATGTGTGCTTGGCTTTGAACGGCATGATTTTGTTAAAAGCGAAATAAAAACCACTCACACAAATAGAGAAATCTGTCAGCTACTGAGTACTTGGCCCAAAAAAGTTAATGGTGCAAACGAAATTGGGCCAAAAGTGCCGCAGGCAATGGCCATAATACGAGTATATAGGTGGCTTAATGGTTCTTGATGGGCTTTCAATAGCGACAGGTGCTTATATTGAATTGACACTCGTGCGATGTTTATTCCTGAACTGATGGATGGTTGAATACAAATTGAAATCGATCACTAAACATTGAAAATTTAATAATAACCAAATATTTAAACTCCGTTTAATGAATTAACTCAAGAAGAGTGTTTCAATTGTCTCTAGTAATTCAGGCAGGACATTTAGAAATAACTGTTTTAAAAATATATATTCGTGAAAATTTTGAATCTCAAGAAGAAAAACACATTTTTAAAATATATACTAGTTTTTTTTAAATCGATAACAGTTAACAGATAATCAGCTCTAATTTTTTTTTTTCTTACATACCTTCAATTTTCTAATAGTCTTTTGAATTTTTAACCACAGCTAAAGTTAACTATAGTTTTATTGAGAATATAAATATTAATATAAATATTACTGCCGAATTTTCAGACAACATCGTCACTCTGTGAGGAAGTCGCAAAGAATGTTAGTTACATACTTATATGGCAGTGTTTGAGTTTCAAAGACAATGATTAAAGGAGATGTTAGAAGGTGAATCGAAGATGTGTTTATGGTTAACAAAGGCCAATTAATTTAGACAGTTCTACTAGGTTCCAGCTGAAAGTTTTCGTTAATTATATTTTTTCCAATGAGTTGTATGCTGTATTGGTAATGATTTTAAGAAATATAATGACAGTTGGACTACAGTTGTAAGATTAAAGGTGTATATCTATTAGGGCCACATTATTGCGATAATTATAAGAAAGATAAGAAATTAACAGTAGAAGAAAAGAATGGAGATTAAAAATGAGTTGAACAAATTAGCAGTACCTTTGTGAGCTAACCGTTGAATTTGTCAACGTCATTTTCAACTGCCTGCGAAGGACTTGTGTGTTGATGGCCAAATTGATGTTTGTGTGTGTGTGTGTGTGATTTTTCCCCTTGGCTATTGCCAATTTGAGGCTGCGAACGCATTGTCTGCCCATGGCTTAGAGGCTAAACTAATTGTATAATAAGCGCTAAAAAGCTGCGCCTGTGGCTGAGCACGACATAACACGAAGTAAAAAAAAAAATAAAACAATCATAAAAAATAAATACATTT